AATCTCTGTGAGGCAGATGTTCTTCTGGCATGCGGAATACGTGTCCTAACCGGCGTAACCTATGGAACGTGAGTAACTCATCCGTCACAGGGGAATTCATTCTTCCTATAACCATCTGGCGTTTCTCAGCATTACCAACCTGATGTTCCCATCAGACGTGATGAATGCTTCGGAGACACCGATGGCCAAACACTGACATCTTCCGTATGTCGTCTGCGCGTAGGGGCCACGTTTCTGATCCATAAAGTAGTATGGATCGTACCATCGCAGTGTAAACCCTTCTTTTGACAGACAAACTGACGTGACGTTGGCGCCATAGGTGTCGGAGGTCAGCAACATTTGCCCTGGCCTTTCTGATTTGAGGAAAAGTCTCATCTTCAGGCAGTCCACCGGAATTTATACAGCTGTCCAGGTAAACAAATGTACCTACTACATCAACTGGCTCGCCTGCAAGTATGAGGTTTTTTAGCCACATTTTACACATTGCGGGTATGAAATGCATACCAAACAATGAGGCGGAGTTGTTTAGGTTATTTAACATCGTTTGCATTTGGTAAGGATCTGAACTAAGGAGAATCAAGGACATTAATGGCTGCAACGTGGATCAGAACTTTTGAGGTCAGTAAGTGATTGTTTTTTTCTGGGCGAAGGTTTAGGCACAGAATAGTGGCTCGGGGGTTGACAGATGGAATTGATTGTACTGCATTGTACGATTGGTGGGGAGGAAGTCTGGGAGAAGGCTGGTGAGCGAAGAGCCGAAAGGGCAAATGATATTTCTTAGTTTCCCAGGCTGTAGAGGGGAGCTAACTTGAGGTACCCATCTTGAGTGACTCAAAAAAGGTTTAGGCACAGAATAGTGGCTCGGGGGTTGACAGATGGAATTGATTGTACTGCATTGTACGATTGGTGGGGAGGAAGTCTGGGAGAAGGCTGGTGAGCGAAGAGCCGAAAGGGCAAATGATATTTCTTAGTTTCCCAGGCTGTAGAGGGGAGCTAACTTGAGGTACCCATCTTGAGCCTTTGACTCAAAAGTCTGACCCACAAGAGAGTGGGAGGATGTCGGGTTTGGTTCGGAGGCCCTGCCACTAGCCTCTGACTCGAGAGTCTGAAACGCGAGACAGCAGTTTTTTTTAGATCCTGCACCTGCGTCACCTGTGGCGTAGGCCTGACATCAGCTTCTCTGTCAAGGGTCGAGTTTACAATGCTGCGGTGCGCTCTATATTACTATATGGATCTGAAACCTGGCCGCTGCGTGCTAAGGACGTCAGAAGACTTTCAGTGTTTGACCATCGTTGTCTTTGGAGCATCTGGTGGGAACACCGATCGGAAATTCTGAAGTACATCAAATGGTTTTTGGGATAAATAACTCACCCTCGATAGATGAGCTGATAACACTGCATAGGTTGCGTTGGCTTGACCACGTGTTGCGTATGCCAGTCAACCGACTTCCTCGAGGGGCACAACCATGTGAAGGGTGGAAGCGAGTCAGAGGCGGTCAAACGATGACTTGGCAGCAAAGTATGAAAGCCATTACCAGCAAAATCAGCCGCGCTAGTCATTACCATCTTCCTGGATGGGGATCCCGAGACGGGCCACGTAAATGGTTAGAAGTCAGGCATGGCCCAGTGGCGCCCTCAATGGTGCTCGTGCATGCAAGCTATTGTTTTCAATGCATAGCTACCTTCCCAATTCCCCCACCTGACAGCCCACTGACAGCGCTGGATTTATGCTGTAATTTATCATCTCCCGCCGACAATGCGCAGCTACCTACCCCCTCCCTAAATCATCGGTGAATAAAACTGTGGCAGCTACAACCACTGTACGACGAGTACGACAGCTAACAATGATGGTGATGAATATGATGGGGGATCCTGCTCGTAATCCTCATGGTTGTACGGCAGTGAAACATCGGTGTTGAACACTGATGTCATGCTTTCGATGATGATGATGCTCGGGATCAATGACTCAATAGTCTGACCCACTTGTCTGCAGGGGGCTGGCCTGGCCAGGGAGTAAGGCATTACTGCCTCACTCCTAGTGCATCTGTGCACATTAGATGCCTTTTGAGCAGCACCAGATTCTTTGGTTTCGAAAGTATTTCGACTGTATTTTATAACGCGTCGGTGGTCATGGTCAACCGTCGGGCGATCGGAGTGTGCATGTTTTCTGACCCGTCCTTGGGGGAAGACGGCATCGCTACTTCCAGAATTAGGGACATACTAGTCGCCTGAGATGAACGCCTTACTGCCTTCACACTCCTGTGGCAGAGAACAGTACGGCTACACTACTCCGACAGTATACAACTACGGCAGATGTTCACCATTGTCTGTGCTATTCTCATCCAATGCAAGACGGCCATGAAACTCTCTTTGATCAGCGCGATGGTTGCTTACGAGTTTATGTCACCGCCAACTTCAATGATGTCTACCTCGTTACTAGAGGAAAACCTTCAGGTTGTTAGAGTACACAGTGACCTCTCGCTTGCAGGATGATGCAGACATACAACACCGACATCCATCCAGGCAGGATGTTCTTTCGCTCGACGAGTCACGACCATCTTTTTGGCTACTGGTGGCTGCCACTTCCGAATACACAGTCGGAAATGAAAAAAATCGACTCAGTCATCAACTTATCAATGCCATCAGGTCAAGCGGTGTGACCTGTTAGAGGTTTTCTGTCAATGAGAAGTCTTAGAGAATAAACGGAACGAAGGAATAGGTGTGAGAGTGGAAGAGTTAGTGGTAACATGAGTCTGCCCGCAGGCCATGCTCAGTAAGGACGGTAAAGGTGACCTGAATGATGACATCACGCAACGGCTGATACGACATCCGGCCGTTTCTGGTTGTTACATATGCGCGAAAGCTGGGATTCTGTCAGGGTGCTCACACGTAGACAGGAGGACGATTGGGTTGAATCAAAGCTTTCAACTCAAGTCTGGTAATAGGCCTAAGATTAACTCAACAGCCCGATTTCAAGGAACACGGCACTACACTTGTTCTACTCATAAGCTGGAGGGCCAGGAGCCTGTTATACCTCTGTTCATTCACCAACCTTGTAAGAGAGCCTTCGTGAATACTACGTCGGCGCCGTGTGATATAGCTCAATTAGTCACTGCTTTAGCAATAAGGTCTAGTGTCTTGGCGATAAAGCATCAGGCCCTTAGGGCCTAACAACTTACGGCTTAAAAACTCTACTAAAGTGTGGAGTCTTTCCTAATGTTACCCACTTCCATCCAACTTAGACCGCTCAAAGTGTTAGCGCAACTCGTGCACAGACATGCTGTGGTCTGCTACTTTTCGCCACATACATAACTCCTAAAAGGGCGCCTCTAGCGCCGTTTTGCCAGATTCATAAATCCGTTCGGTAACTCTCGAACGCTGGACATGCGTGACGCTGAAACATTCGACCAGTGGTGCAGGTGACAGCTACAGTGTTATCGAACAACGCGGCAGTTCATTTGAATCAAGTCAAGCATAGCGCACGAATCCTTGTCGTCATTGGTGCATGAACTGGTGCTTTGGATCCACGGAAACGGAATCTTTTTGTTCAAAAGTATTGGTGGACGATTTTCCGGTCACCCCCTGAGCAGGTTACCAACAATGGAAAAATGATGTTGGGTGATGATGGGTGGGTACCATCTGGGTGGTCCAGATGGTACACGCACTGACACGCTTCCGCTTATGAGTGGGATATCGTCTCTGTTTTGTCCAGAGTTATGATCTAAGGTTGGTTCATTAGCCACCCGTTGATGGTTTGAAATCACACTCTTCCTTCGATAGATAACTAATCGGGGCGAAGTGGCTCAGTGGTTAGAGCGCGAATTTACTGACCGGAAATTCCATGGTTCGAGCCCGACCTCTGCAACTCGATTTCCCCTGTCTAGGCTCGGGCAAACCTGGAAGTATCCCAGCTCGTGCTTCCTTTGGTTGGCATGACAGCTAGGCACCGAAAGGGTGTTACATCTGAACAACAACATAACTAATCTCCCATCGGTCTGGTTTTGTCGCTAGATACCCGCCCCAACCATCAATTTTACTGTACCTGTGGCGTATAGTTCTGTTAAACAGGACCCGTCTCAATACTGTACCCTACATCAATACTCCGAAGTGAGTACGCGCAGGCGTACTCCCAATACCCCCGCCAGACGATGCTTAGATGTTTATGACACTATTGGCAGCTCCGAAACTAAATATTTTGCTGGACATTTCCCACCTTTTTCCATGGGATGTGATCATCCGTGGACGGAAAAGCGTTTTTTCATCCAGCTTATTAAATTCTTAGATCAACAATTCTCAGGTACTTGCAGATCGACGAAACACAGCCTCTCTTCTTTGTAGCCGTGGTCTCGACTGGCGTTCTCCATAGAGTGTCAGTGCTATTCTCTCTCGTTTTATTTTGGGAAACCAGTTGCCCCTTCCAATTGATCATACCCGTCGCCATTCACTCTACCGGCACAACCAAACTCCTTTCACTTCTCTTCATCTTCACGAGTAGATAGGTACTTGATATCACAATTATGTTTTTACTCACTGTCTTTATCATGTTTCATCCTTTTGCAGACATTCTGTTGGCTTCCGTGCTTCAACCTTTTCGTCTGACCGAAAATACCACTTTCCTCCCTAGGTACACCAGTACAAACCCACTATGCGTCTAATCAAAGCAACAATGAACCAAACAAGGATGCTACTGCTGACTAGTTAAACAACTCAAAACAATTTAGGGGGAATCATTGCGTATGAAATTTGCGAATGTCTGACTTAAGTTCATCCTGACAAGTCATGTGAAAAGACCTAACAATTCAGGTGTGGCATATGAAAGCCGTAAATCACTGAATAATTAAGAGGGCAACCCTATTCATCGTCATGATGACCGATTCTCTTTTAATGAGAATTTTTCTCACGATAATGCGATTTTTATCGATTCCTTCTCCTTTCTCTCTGAAGAAGAATGGCTGTACGAACCATTGTTAACATACCACGAATGTTTGTCATAATTATAGCTGTTCGTTTAATGCTTGGCCGCTTGATCACAGTTTGGATATTCTCGTTTCAGCTCCTCAAATGTTAGAAGGCGGATGGTATTTTAACCAGATCAAGGGAACATGCGAAGAAATAAGTGACGGTGTGTGCATAAATTCGCTAAATCTTACTGACATTTATTCTGCTAGCCGATATTATCTCCTGTGTCGAGTATGACAAGTCCGGTGAGTTCCTCGCAACTGGAGACCGGGGTGGTCGCATCGTCATTTTTCAGAGAGACCAAAAAGTGAGTCGCTCTCTTGATCTCTGTCTGTCCAATCAGTTTTCTCCTTGCCTGATGGTTCTTTCTGTTAACATCTGAGATGGGTCAGTGGTTAAAGTGCGATTTTACCGACAAGAAGGTCCGTGGCTTGAATCGAGCATCTGCCTCTCGGCTCTCCCTATTCAGGCCTGGGCAATCTGGCAGTATCTCAGACCTCGCGCTTCCTACACCGAAAGGGTGTTACAGCTGAACGATCACTATTTCTTTAGTATTTATTATTATCTCACTGCTACTTACAGATTGCAACGCTCTCGAGTTTCCTGCAAGTGGTTAGGTGATTATCACCACCAAAATTCACCATAGTTTTTTCATGGATGTATTGTACCTTTACTTTATGAGAAGGGAAAATAATTTGGACAGTTTTGCTTGTTTTCCTTAGGACATTCGTCAGATTTTGTAATTTCTGAAAATTTATTTGTCAAATCGACCCTTAATTAGGGTGGCAGGTATAGTGGCATACCTTTGTATACAGATTGAGGTTTGTCCTCAACTATTAGCAGGAGGTTGACACGAGGATCCTTAATATCGAAACGCAAAGCAAGAATAACGAAAATTGAGGTATCATATGGCCTTTCAGACCTATATAGGAACCACTGAAAAGTCATTGGTGGCATCGTACCATCAATTTCTCGGTCTTGGTGATCACGTATCAACTCTGGAGTATACAAACACTAAAATTGTGCCACAGACGAAAAGTCTGCGTTAAAAAATTTCTTGACTTATCCACAAATACTCGCCTCTCTGCGACTGGCCTCTGTGTTAGGATCAGCCTGCTGTCTGCGATTATTCCCCCCAATCCTGCCTCCAGCAATCAACAGATGGATTGTCTGAATCCCGAAACAATCAACATCAGACTCGACAGCGGCCATCCATGTGAAAGGGACCAAGGAGAAGGCCCTCTTCTCGACTTTGTCTTCCGGCTTGTGAAGAGCATATTCCACTCAATGTTTTTACCGTTGGAGGTACACAAAGGGTTGTGTTGGTTCACAGCCTGATTTTTATTCTGTGCGCTGAATCATACTGTAGTTGAAGCACGGCTTTTATGGCATTGTTAATCATGTTGTCGACTTTGCTTCTCGGCTGACCATTATGCAGAATGAGAGCTCTGGTGCATTTCAAGAATTCACTGGTTTTCGTGGCGGAGTCTCCCAACATTGGTGATGTTTCTGTTTGACCGCAATGATTTGGTTTTGGCCGTATCAGTCTCCAAACCGTTTATGACGTACAGATTGTTACGGTCGAGTGTTGTCAATACTATCATCAAGAAGGGCATCATCGGTGTCGGTCAAATATCCATGACGTTCGTTACCTCCAGTCCAGAGCTTTTTCTGTTATTTATGGAATAGCTGGACGTTCTTGTCGAATTCTGGTGCGCAGAATGGATTCGCCGTACAATCGGAATCGGACTTTGGTTGTTGATTACTATTACCTCATGGGACGCACCAATGATCAGCTTTGCGCTGCACAGCGCATCTCGTTCTACTGAATCTAAGGGTGCAAGAAAGTATACAAAAAGGGTGCCCTTAGTTATTTGAAAAGGAGGCAATGTTACATTATTCGCCGCTAAATAGATACTTAATGAATGCTGCCCGCACCAGGATGTAACCTTCCTTGACTAGGACGAGTGCGTGTATGCCTTCCAGATTCAAAGGTTCAGTAGAAGCCAGGTGAGAATGTCTTTGAACTGACATCACAATAGTTCTCGCCTAATATTTTTTGACTTTCTTGGGAAATGTGTACTGCAGTAATCCGAGAATAGGCCTGTTTTTCGAAGTGGGTGAAGTCGTTATCGAAAGATGGTGAGCTGGGTGTTTGAGTGATGAAGCAATTGGTCTAAGTGTTCCATCGATCATCAGACTATCTGTTTAGGTCTAGACCAAGCTCAATTGAGTTGCTCAGTAAAAGCTGCGGCCCGTGATGTTTTCATAAGGCATTCCATATCAAATTTGGAAGCTTTTCGAAATCGCCAGCATTTCACGTGTCGTTCGCCATCTCCGTCCAGCAACGGCTGCGGTCAGCCCGAGCTGAGCTAGCTGTAAGCGGTGATGATTCTTTATTGTGGGATGCCGTGGAGAATGCAGCGGAGTGCATGAGGTATTCTCATATCCTCATCTCACCGTTTTATCCTCCTTCTTCAGGGCTTCGTGGTCTTTTGTTTTGACATCCGACCAATTAATGTTTGCGGCACGGCACTTCTGTTTCTGTCGTCTTTATCCAATTATCCTTACCAACTTTACTGCTTCCTCGAAATCTAACGATGTTTGAGACGGCGTTCGGTTGTTTTAAGTATGGCTTTTGACGATAACACACGGGGTTTTGACTTGGCTAACTGTGAAACAGTATTAGTGGTTAGTAATGCCTGGGGATACACAGGGATACACAACGACAGGAATCAGGGCGTTTCGAACTTTTCAGACCAAGACACATTAAAATGAGCTCGTATGGGAGTCGATTTGAACTCGCTATTTGTTGCCTGGTTTGTAGTCATCAGTGTGAAAACTTTCACGCGATCGCTTGCTGCTAAATCAGTTGATAAATAATACTGTGCGTGAGTGCCTGTTAGTCGGTTTCCAGGTTGGCGTCGTGTGATAGTGTTGATTTTGTGATGCACTTTACCCTGCTGATAAAAAATTTTGCCCCCTCGTAAAGGTGGCATCTTGGCAATGTGGTGCGCTTCGCATGAACAAGCTTTTCAAGTCAGTAGTTTGCTGTTCATATCACCACCCACTCTTCTGACCACGTTCGAATTCAACCGTTGAATAACCTTACACCTAGTACCCCCCGAGAGGTTTGGCGTTGACAAGAAAACATCAAGCATTGGTCCACTTGGATTAATTACAAGTTGTCAGAACTATTTCTACCCTTGTTCTCCCTTTTTGTATCCGATTTCCTAATGCACTTGGATTAACTGTGTTAGCGGAAGTGCGACACCAAACGCAGACTGACGTTTCCCCCCTTCTCTCGATTGAAGTGCGACACCAAACGCAGACTGACGTTTCCCCCCTCTCTCTCGATTTGTAGCAAGAAAGTCCCTTTCGTGTCAGTCACACCGTCTACTGCACGTTTGTCAGTCATGAACCAGAATTCGACTACTTGAAGTCCCTGGAAATTGAAGAAAAGATCAATAAAATCCGATGGCTTCCCCGACCCAATCATGCCCGTCATCTGCTATCCACCAATGGTACTGCCATATTTTTCCGTTTTATTGTTCAGCTTATAGCTCTGACCTGAGGATTATGTGCACACCGACTCGCTATTTAGCCTAAGTGAAAGACTTGAACTGTAGTAACGCTGTGAAATTGTAGTCTTACTACTGGGCTATGCTGTGTATATTCTTATCCAGTCACCGGTTGCTGAACTGAGCTGCATTTCTCAATATCTCGCCATCCTGCAAAAGAGTGATTTCAGGCTTTTATTCACAAAATGCGTCATGTTTTTTCCTTCAAAGCAGTCTTTGCTGATCGCAGAAGGGCATGGTACCAAGTTCGGTATCGTTGGCCACCGCTAAGACTCGTCAAATGTACCAGATGCAGATAGATGGCCACTACCAATGTTTTTCACCGTGTACCAGTATTATGGGTCAGGCTTAGTTCTAGCTATTTTTACTGCCTGCATGCTATTTTTTTAGAACCTATTTGAAACTAACATTTTAAAGCGCAGAAGCGATTGTAGATCTATTTCAAAGAAAAATCACCCAGCATTAAGCTTGAGAACTTTTCCGTGTCCGCGATTGTCTGCATCGAACGCGTTCTCCACCTCAGTCTGACTAATTGGGTGGATGGTTAAATTAATTCACTGATGGCGATTCCCAGTCGCAGTACTCGGTAGTGACGCACGGTTAGTTCACACCACGGTACACTGACTTCGACTTCGAACTTGTTAAGACGATACAAAGTTTGGCAATACGTGGGTATCCCTCACAAAACATGAAGAGGCGTTACATAGACGGAACACTGAGTTTTTGTGCGTGCTGACTGGATATCGTTCCACCGTGGTTTGTGCGGTGGAAAATTCGTCCGAACTAATGGAATCATGTATTCGGCGAACGTTCCGGAAATCGGGGAGCTAGCAAACATTACGTAGTCATAAGTTTGTCGTTGTGTATGCGTGCTCATACGTGTGTCTCTGGTGTTGCTTCCACCCTCAGACACGCTTGTGTAGCTGACTTTAATCTGGCCAAAGTCTGAAACTGTTTCGTGTGAATGGAAACTAGGTTGTTTGCATCCGGTTCTCGTCTGATCAATGGAGCCCGATCGATCGTACTGTATCTTGTTTGTTTCTGGTTAATTTATGTTGCATCTCCAAGTCCGCATACGATTCGATGAACACATAGAAACTGACTGTCCGTATACTGCTGATATGCTTTTTGCTATGTATTTTGTGCTGCTGAAAGACAAGACCATCAAGTTATGGCGAATCACTGAACGTCACAAACGCGCAACTGGTTACAATCTGACTCAGGAGCAGAATCATATGGATGCTTCGTTCGATGAACCACAAATCAGTCCCCAAACGACCCGATTTGCCCGCCCCGATGATCTCAGGGTACCTCACTTTGAGGAGATCGAACCCACAGTGGAGGCGTTCCCCAGACGAATATTTGCCAATGCTCATGCCTACTTGATCAACTCCCTGTCAGTCAATTCCGATCAAGAAACCTTTTTGTCAGCCGATGATCTGCGAATCAATCTATGGAATCTGCAGATTACCGATCAGTCATTCAGTATCCTTTGGTTTCGTGTTTCTTCCTTTTTCACTTGTATAATACCCAAGAGATCTGGAACGTGCTAACAGACCTTTTGATCTAAGGTCGTTGTAAGGACAAGGGGGATGCCATACTGATATATAAGATCGG